ATTCCTGCAATGGTTAAGCAAACAAAATAACACCTTATTTTTCCATCATTAAAGCAGACCATACTTTGCAAATCTCAATTCCACTTCAAGAAGTGTTACCTGTCCCTTAAATATTTTTGGAAAATGTGTCTTCAGTAAAGTAGCAATTGTCATCAGTAAAAGAAAATATAAAAGGACAAATTATATGTTGATTTTGACAACCAGTACACCACTTGAACAAATCATAACGCATAACTGGTTTGCTAAAAACTTTAGGTCTCTTTTATTGTGCACATGTATAGGAATTTTCCAGTTACGCCAATAATAACTAGTATTTATGTAGCCTTTCATCCCCAGGATCCCAAAACACTTTACAAATTTAAATTCTACATGAATGGACACCCAGGTTCATTTCATTCATCACTGAAAAGAACAGCTATGTAAAGCTGCAGTCTAGGACTGAAAAGAAGGAATACCATGACTAGCTAAAACAAATGGTACAACTTAGATAGCAAAAATAATTAACCTATTTGGAATATGGTCAGAACACCTGGAGTCACATTTTTATATCTACAAGGACTTTTGGTAACCTTAACTGTAGTCCACAGTTGTCTAGTTCATACCCTATTTGAAGGATGGCAGCAAGAAAATTGAGAAAATTGAGCAAGTCTGAAAATTGAGAAAATTCAGCAAGTTGGATAACTAAAATTCCTAATATCACAATGAGCAAGATTTATTAGCAACAATAGCATCCCACATGAAAACTATGGTCAGTTGTGAACAGACCATAGTCAGAAAAAAGGAATGAACAATAAAATATCTGAGACCCTTTGGTGAAAACACTGGCCTCTAGCCTATACCAAGATATGAGTACTACCAGCTGGTGTATGAATCCATAAATTCCTGTTACTGAAGACAACACCTGTAACATAACATGTTTCACTAAGTCCATCCATTTTATTCAAGCAGATTCTAAGTTCACACATTCATATTATAACTATGTATATGATGCTATTTTTTAAGCTTTTGAAGCTGATCAGTTATACTGCCATCTTCATGGCACCTCAGCCAATACAAGACATGCATTTTTCTCAACCAGTAGAAATTCAATAATTCAAGGTAAAGGACATCAAAGCCAGCCCACATTACCATCACTCTTTACTTTAACATGACAAAAAAAAAGAACATTCTTATGTCCCATAACAAAACAGAAGATTTAGAACAGATTAAAATTCTTTTCATATACAAAATGCTCTCTAAAAGTAATGCGAGTGCACAAAAGCCTGCATTAAACCACTTGCCATACTTTCACACCAAAGTGTTCCAGTACTCACTGGGCATGTCTACACGTTAATTAATGTGCCATAATTATAGCACATTAAGTTTAGTACCTGTAACAATAGGTACTAACTTAATTTGCCGTAATTAGTGCTACTGCACAGTAACACTAGCGCACGTCTTAGGTTATGCTAACACACAGTAGACTAATTTGACTTCATACAGTACAGCTTTTGCTGTGATGCACTAATGCATAGGAGCATTAGTCTACTGCACATCTAGTGTCTCATGTAGATGTGCCCGCTATGCCTTCAGCAGATCAATATTCCACATATGATTGTTTTAATAAAAAAGGATATAGCATTTCAGACAATAATTACTTGTTGCTGGTATACAGAACAGCCAACTGATGAACTACATTCATCACCACTTCATAGCATCGTGTAACAAAACAAGACAGCTCCTGAAACGACAAGTTTTAGACATATTTTCATTATTTCCAAGTAACTGAATAGTCATACAACCAACATCACACATTCAAAGATAATCCTATTTTCAGTTTGTGAAAGTGTCTAAAGCTGGGCAAGTTGGTTGATATGCATCTCCGTACTGCTGCACGTGACTCTAAGCTACCGCAGGTGACTCTACATTGCATTACAGTTCATAGGCCATACAGTCCAGAACAGAAGTCCCAGTACCCAGGGAGCTGTACCCAGAACCTTCCCTCCAACTATGCAGACAATTGGCAGGTCTATGGCTATGGTCTTCTTCAGACCGAACTCTTTGCCTCTTGAGGGGAGAGGGAAGGCAAAAGGTACACTACAAGCAGGTAGCCAGACATCCTTTAAATGGCTATCATAATTTACACCCAACCCCTAAAGAGAGAACCCTGGGAAGCAGTACACTTTGAAAGAGGCCTTCAAGAGCTCTTCTCCACAGTGTCTCAGCACTACCCCATACTACTTACTGGGTGCATCTACACATGTGCTTTACTGCAGAGTAGACTAATTAGCTCTGCAGTAAAGCATCATGGCCTACACATGCGCCGGTATTAAGGCACAATAAATTAATTAACTCCACTGTAAGATAGCACTGTTAGGGACAGTACTCTCTTATGGTGGAATAAGTAACTGTTCCGAAATGCATGTGTAGACAGCGACAGGGGCTGGCTAGGGCATAAGCATGCTAAAGTGTTGGGGCTGCCTGCCAGCTAGCCACATAGCTCCACAGGTTCTGCACCCTCATGCCCCAGCCAGTCCCTCCACTGCCTGATACCTGGGACTGACCCCAATGCCTCCTGCCAGCCCAGGGCTACTCCAGCCTGGCTCAAAGTGCTGCTGTACTGGTCACATGTGTAGACACTGTGCCCAGAAGCAGCTGACTCCAGCTCAAAGTGCTCCACAGTTTATCAAACCACATTAATTGAACATGTAGATGCACCCACTGGTTCAATGCCAAAGGCACAATTTAGCCCTTAATAAGTAATATGAAAATTCTCTTTGAAGCCATGCCAAGACAATTCAGTGCTATACTTCAACAGAAGCTTTTTTCTCTTACCAACATCATGCATTATTAAAAAGGTAGAGAGGACAATGAATTTGACAAAGAACACAAGAACAAAAGGAGAGCATCCTGTCTCCCTGAACCAAAATTATAAGATAAAACCACAGGATTGGATAGACTGATAAATTATTCTGGGAAATGTCCAGTGGTAATATATATTGGAACTGATGACTCAGTATCACATGGAACTACACAAATTATAGACTTCAGGGATCTTTGGAAGGCAGGTGAAGAGCAAAATCCAAGTGACCTTTTCAAAGAGCCTTCTGAACCAAAAGCAAAAGGAAGGAGAAGGCAGAAAATGATGGACTGCAGGTTGTGTGACCAGTACAAAGCTCCAGATTTTGTAATCAAACCAAATTCTAGTGGAAAGAAGAGCTTTGAAATGGAATAGCCTGCATCTCACACATAGAGGGTGAATCGCCTCAGCTGGAATTACCAAAGCAGTATTACACAAGGGGGAGATGCAAACTCAAGCTCAGTACATTGGGAAGAAAAATGCTAAACACTTGGATAATAAGACAAAGGAATAAAAAATTCTCCCTTGTGAAGAGAAATTTGCTAACTGACATTACTAAAACCTGGTGGAACCATGCACATATCTGGAAAGTTAAAGACGTGGGTTATAACCTATTCCAGGAAAAAAGGCTGGATAAAGCAATGCCTGATTTGGTAACTTGGAAACATAAGCCCTTGAAAGTATTTAGGTCGCTGCACTAATTTAAACCCACACGTGTGTACTGAACAGAGTACTGGTAAATCAGGGGTTAAAGCACTCTGTAAGCATCTCCCTATTACAAATAAAGAGTTATGCTGGAAGTCTCATCCAACCAGCAGTAAAAATAAGTTTCCAGAAGTTAGAGGTCAATAAAACAAAAAGAATTGTACCCAACATGAGGCAACAATTTTGAACCTTATTAGGACGAATAAGATCAAGCTCACTGAAATGGTATGGTCTGGGATATCCAGAAAGTCTGACTAGATGATTAAATGTCCCCCTTAATTTCTATTAAAATACTTTAAGAAGCTAAATTTAGTTATAATTTACATAGTTTAGTTATATTTCAGCAGCCAGCAGCTTTACCTGCTGGGAACTTCTAAACAGTGCTGACTGAGCTGCTGCCTCTGCAGGTTCTCTGTCCACCCTGGCTTTGATGCTCTTAAAGCAACAGCTGGGTACTGTCACAGTTCCTGACACAGCAATGCTGCCAGGGCATAAACACCACGGGGGTAGAGAGATGTTCCAGCACCCCTCCTAACTCGGCACCCAGGGCAGATGCCTCTCTCAGCCATCCCTAATTACGCTACTACACACTAGTTAATTTCACTCCACGTTTTTCCATTCATTTTAACATACTGCTCAGGTTCTAATTTCAGTGAATAAGTTTTCAGCTAAATAAGCTTTCAATATTTTATTATAATGCATCTCTTTTTAAACTCAATTTCAGCATTAGAACCAGGTTACATTGCTCATTTAAAGATTCAGTCAAAACATCCAATATTATGGGACATGTGCAATATTCTATAGCATAGTCAATTGCTGACAACTGACAGATTTCCAGAATTTCCTAAATATTTTGGATATTGTATGGAGTTAATCCTGCAGGGGGTAGCAAAACGCTAGCAGGTGCTCCTAAGTTCTCCCAATGATTTGCCTTTTTAATGTCATTAACTATATGCGACAGGTAAATATTTACCAAGCAATCAGGTTGAGGAGGGTTTCTTTGTACAAAAGGGTGTCAGATTCAGATACTCAACAGCCAGCAACTGTGTTTCCAGATCTCTCTGCTGGTACTGTACCAGTTAATCATGCTACTGCTAGGGAGAAATTCATATAATTGACAACACCAGTGTTTTTCAATTTGTGGATACTACCATCAGCCTATTCTCAGTGGGACTTGGTAAAAAGCATAGAACTGATAAAAGGAGACATTGGTAAAGGAGAGCTTCTCCCCACAGCCTCTTTTCAAAGCAGAACCCAGCTATTTAAAAAGTATTTAATCTTTCCTCTATGGTGTGAAAGCAACAGTTCACAAAGAAGTTTAAGCTAACACCTGTTCAGTCACAACCCACTTTTAACTCCCACCACACTCAACTAAATGATAAAGCCACCCACAGACCTTTCTGAACCAATATGGAGAAACAAGAAACAGGCAGAACTAGTGGCTAGAACAACACTAGAGAAGTGAGAAGACAGAAAGTAGACAAGAAAGGAGAGATACTAGCAACTGGACATGAGCACAGCAAAGGAGCTCAGGAATTCATTTCCTCTAGTATAGAGTCTATCAGGCGATCAAGTGATGCGGACAGGGTGGTCCTCCAATACGCGCACACACACACACGAAAGTATATAGAACAGCTTAATGAAGCTTAAAATTGAATTTTTCTAGATGGATCAAATTCTAAAAGACGTTTGCTTATAAAGCATATCTTTCTATTCAGCTTAATACAAATACCTGTTTCATGTAAACAGGTTCCTATCTGTAATAGGACAATCACTTGTTAAGGCAATCATGCCAGAAGAAGCGTGACAACTTCTAGCATAGAATGAATACTAAGAATAAAGGAAATCCTCAGAAACACAGATCCTGTTTTCTTTCAAGTGCCCTTGATAATGAGCACAATTGTTTCTAAAAGGCATGGTTTCCCCCCAGGATGTTTTGTGGAGCATCAGTAAAGTTTTAATGACATCTCTTAATCTATGAGCTAGAAGAAAATGAATGAACAGACTGTTTAGTCCATGCCAACACTACCACTTTTCATGGTGTTCAACAGAAAACTAAAATTTACCATTAAAAATGCAACAGAATCCTGGAATGTTAACAGGTCTGTTGTGTCTTTTCCTACTGAAAGCTGCTTAGAAGAAATCTGATTTATTTGGGTACTGAATATGAAAATGCTTAGGTCTCACGTGGGATTTCCAGTGCTTAAAATAGCTGCTAGTGCAGAATCACAGCAAGTGAACAAGCCATACATAACAGCTCTCTGTCTGAAAGGATGAGTGAAGCAAGTTGGTTGTGACAGCTGTGCCGCTAAGCAGCAGATATCTTCAGAATATATCAGCAGAAGCAGATACATACAAAAATGACTACCAATACCTTTTAGCAGGACATAAACAGAATATTTTAATTGATTAATCCACTTGATAAATGCAACCTTAATTTTCTTTTCAACCTCTGCCAAGAACAAAATGTACTCTTTACCTGTAAGAAGGAAACAAATCTTCCCATCTGTATTTGGGACTCTCCTTCCACCATGCTGGATTCTGTGGCTGGAAAGGCAAAGAGAAGTTTTATCATCTTTACAAACGGCAAAGAAACACATTCACATTACACTTGCTCTACAAGACAATTTTTGTTTGCCCCTTAATTTAAAAAAAAAAAAAATACCGCTTCCCTTCCCCATTAGATATAAAGAAGAGAAGAGAAGATAAACCAATTCTAATATTCACTGTATGAAATGAAAATGAAGGCAGATTTTTTGGACTGGATTTCTTAAACTATTCTTCTGTTTTCCTATTGCAAGAGCTTAGAAAAATTTTCTTGATATCTTCAGGCATGCTTGGATGTTCCATGATATAATTTTAAATCCTCGTAGACTCCTGAACATTTTTAACTACAAAAAAATCTGAGTGGTTTGTAAACTTTTAGGCAAGGACCATCTTTCTTCTGTGTTTGTACAATTCACAATGGGGTTTTACCATATGTACTCAAATATAAAACAAGCCTGAATAGAAGACAACCCCCCAATAATTAGATTATATATATGGAAAAATGTATAAATCTGTTATAATTTCCCAGATATTTAATTGAATTATTGACTTTGTCCCCCTCCCACTGCTACAGCACGGAAAAAAAAAAATCTGGGGAGTCAGCTAGGCCTGGAGTTCTCAAATTTGTCATGCCATGACCCCTGCCGGAGGCGGGGGGTGGTTGTCCCCAGAAGCCAGTCAATGAGCAGGGGGAGAGGGGCCCCCTGGTGGCAGGCCGGCTGGACTTCAAGTGGCACGCTGTGGTCGGTGGAAGTGATAGCGGTGCATGGCAGCAGAAGCAGCGAGTGGCAGCAGAAGTGTTGCAACCCCCTTTTAAGTTGCTCGTGGCCCCTTGTGGGGGTCGTGGTCCACAGCTTGAGAACCCCTGAGATAGGCCCTTTACTCTCTGCTCTACACCCTTAACTTTTTCCCCCCTGCAGTCCCTTCCCCCACTCCTTACTGTCAGACCTTGCTCTCCCTGAGCACATGGAAGTGAGGGACAAATCTGAAAACACTGACCTTGACTTAAACATACCTGTCATAACCTGTACATAGGACAATTATTACAAGTGCCTATTGACTTAGTTCATCCAGAACTGAGGCAGTTTACCTCTTTTGAAACTGTTGCAAGTTTTAGCACACATACTCCATAAATACACTTTTAAGCAGCACTTTTGTACCTACTTTTGTGTAGTAAAAACAATGCATGGTATTACTCCAAAGCCAAAAGGCTTGTGATTTACCATACAGTTCACTGGGAAGAGGCCCAGAAGTGGCAACAGGATTTCAAGTCATGGTTAACCCACAGTTCAGCACTGCTCAGTATGTGTGTGTACTCCAGACACCCCTCCTCAAAGGATCCATGTGCTAATTAGACCTCACCCCACGCGTGACTGGAACCAGGTGTTCTTGTCACAAGTCCTGGGATCCTCTAAAAACGTATATGCAGACGAGACATAGGGCAAACAGGTCCAGCTCTACCTCATGGAAGGCGGGGCCACACTAATCATATGTGACAGGCTGAGATGGGGTGACAGAGGGATTCTGGGTAAACTGTTTGGGACACTATTTGGTGATGTTTTCCAGACATTTAAGGCTGGTTGAAAACCAGGCCTCACAGGAAATGGGAAAGAAAGGTGAAGCTCAGCTATAGGAGTAAAGAGAAATAAAAATGTATTCAATGCAGCGGCTCATCATGACTTAAAAGACAGTCAGTGCTGCAGGAAACTAAGCATAATCGGCACTAACATGTTTTTTTCAGATAAGGCTAGGTTAGTGCAGCCTGTGGTAGGACAGATTTCTTAAGGTGGTTTTAAAAAGAAAAGGTGTGATGGAAGTCTATAATAGAGGATAGTTATTACATTATTTTTAAAAAATTGTGGTAGGTTCCCACCAGTATATTTGCCCCATATAGACAATGTGTTTTATAGTCATGCTCAGCATTGACTATATTTAATCAACTTTCTAGTTGCTTTTGCCACATGCGGCTTTTGCCAGCAGTTTAATGACAGACAATGTATTTAGTGAAGTTTCTTTGTATGTGAATGCAAGACAAGGGGCTTCCTTGTCTTGTATTAGAGTAAATACAGCAAGTCCGTGTTTGCAGCTTCAAGGCACTGCTACAACACAAATACCGGTAATATTAGAAAGTACCAAGTTTGCTGCAGCACCAATTTAACAGTGCTTTTTTCAGGCAATAATTCACCATAATCTTATGTGACAAAAAAATGCCCCTTTCAACATGGGCTTTATTTAATATTAAAAGGCTTCTACACTAGGCTGCTTGCATGGTTTTAAAGAATTAAATTGCATAAAAAATTAATCCACAACAGGGATTAAACTTCTCTAGTATTATGGACTTGATTTGAAAGATTAGTATTGAATGCACAATGATTGCTTTCCCAACAACAATCTAAAGAGCATTAAGCAGAGTGGACTACTGGCTCCAGTATGAGAAACTCAGGTTTTTTAAATTTATAGTTCTTAAAAAAAAATAAATTAAAAAATAAATAAATAAATAAATTTAAAGTCTGTCCATCTGAACTAGCTTTGCGGATGAAAGGAATGGGCAACTGTGCTCTGTTTCTTTCTGTAACAAGAGGCTCCAGCATGACTAAAGATCAGGGGTGCTCAATCTATGGCCTGCTGCCCACAAAACCAGAGGGAACAGCTCATCACTGGCAAATCAGCACAGATTAATGCTCCCTTTTGCTCCTCCACTCCTTTCCCTTGCAGCTGAATTGAGCAACAGGGAAAGGAGGGCAAGAGCAGCAGTTGTGCCCACCACACTGACATGCCAGTCAGATCAGAACTTCTGTGAAGTTCTGAAGCCCAGGGGCTGAGCGCTGTCACTCACTGCATAGCATGAAAGCTATGGCTCCAGCTGGAGCCTACACTAGCATGTCAGTGAGCTCGGCATTTTCACAGAGCTCCAGAGCCCAGGGGATGAGCTCTGCCACTGCTGCTTGTCCCCTCTTTTCCCTGTCACTGAACTCAGTGGAAAAGAAGGGGAGGGGGAAGCAAACAGTAGTGACATTCAGCTCCTGTACAACAGAGTCCTGTGAAAATTTTGCAGTTTGAAAAGGAAAGGCAACGGAGACCTGCCTTTGGTGAACACATGCACACAAGCACAGGGCTGGCTACAGCTGAAAAAAGTAAGCCCCAGTGCTGTGGGGCAGAAAATGGTCCCACTCTCACCATGCCACTGATAGGACCTTGGGAAGCTCAGGGAGCTGAAGTAAGGTATAGTGCTGCCAGCTAGGCCATCTCCAGCTCTTCTTTTCTCCCCCAGGCGTGATTCCTTCAGCCCCTACCTACAAAAAGAACCTGGAAGCTAGTTCCTTACAGGTTAATGCAACCTGGGGGTTCATCAACCTCAATCCCTGCTACTGAACAGGGCACTGAGCTGAGCACCTCCCCACCTGGCCTCTGTCCAGCCTTGTCCAGACAGTTTCAGTTAGTCTTCTGCCATGTACAGCAAAGCCTTAGCAATTATAAGGATTTTTTAAAATAAAATAATACTACAGAGTACTGAACTTTTTATTTTGTATTAATAAGCCTAAAATTACTAAAATTATGTGTTTTCCTTTCTAATATCACTTAAAATATGTGATATTACACTATGCCAAAGTATTAAACTAAAACTTTTCTACGTGGCCCTTGGCCCGTTTCTGATTTTAAGATTTGGACCACCTGTAAAAAAGGGGTGAGCACCACTGCTAAAGATCCTATCTTTCTGCTAGGTATTCTCTATGTAAATTGCTACATCAGTCTTGGCAGGTATCCCAAATAACTATCTTGCAGGCCCTGTGCCAAGCCCCCATAGCTTTGGCAGGATATGATTATGTTTTTCAAAAGGATGTTAATCCATGCATTTTGGGAGCTGAGAATCTGTTTTAAAAAAAGGTCTGCTCCTAATGTGGAGTCATTATCTGAACCACAATAGAGCACCCAGGGCATGCTAACCCAAGTCAGTGTGCTTCTACAGCCTTATCTTGCAAGGCTCCAGAAAGACTTTACAAAGCACCAGGGAATTGAGTTTCACAATATTACTGTGAAAGGAACATTAGCTCCCACATCTTTCTGATGTTGAAAATGCTAGCTAAGTGACTTGCTATATGATTGCACAGGAAGCTAGTAGCACAGCCAAAAAGAGAACTGGGATGTTTTGAGTTTAAATCGTGCTCATTAACCCAGAAAACCATCCTCTTAAGAAAAATGTCTCTAGCAACCCCACTCACAGATAGGCTGCCAACATCATTCTGTTTAAAAAGGGTTTTCACCCAAATTTAGATCCTGTAGTGAACAGGGGGAAATGCAGACCCTTTTTATATAAAAAGTCATTAACTTATGCTTGTGTGTAAACAGGGACAGGAGAAATTGTACCTGCCACTTTAAGCACAAATATCTTATGTTACAAATGTTTCAACCTGACCTAAATTATCCAAAACGCAGAAATTGAGATTAAATATTGGACTTCACCCTTCAGTCTACCAAAGTCTTACATCCAGTACTAGTTGCAGGTTTTGCGCAAGAAAATGACTCAAGTCATTACCAACATTAATATGCCTATGTTTTGCCAGTATAATAGTAAAATCCTGGTCACTTTAATCAAAGAATAGACTTAATGAAACTACTTTGACCCTTTGAGTGAGGCTTGCAAAATTTTATCAATGGTACATAGCTGGTCACTTTTAAGACGTCTTCGAATAACACCCCACAGCACAGCAAGAAAGGTGGATTAGTTATGTATATCCCTATATGGATGCTCATGCTACACCCAGAAAATTCAGTGAAGCAGTGCATGGGCTTACCAAGTATTTTCTGAAAATACACAATAGTGTATACCTACAGTAAGCTTAAAAAAAAAAAAAAAAAAAAGGAAGTTAAAGATTTTTCTTCTGCCTTGGTTTGAAGAAGTGATTTTTAAAAAGAAAACCTTGGAGGAAAAGCATTAGACATCTAGTCTCTTGTCAGCCCCCATTTTCTCTCTCTCATATAAGCAAAGCAGACACAAACCAGCAAAGACATTAGAGTAACAGGAACAGTACTTCACTGAAAATAATGCCTCTTTCTAGTTAAAAATCTTAATGGTACTTGAAGTTAATTCAGGTTAGTTACAAAACAGTATTATATAATTCTTCTTTATAAACCCTATAACCTGAAACCCCTGACCTTGGTTTTCATTAATACTCAAGATCTACTGAAAATGCGTCACTAGTGTCCATGATGTAAGACTACAATTACTCTCAATATCACCATGTTTTAATATCATGTGAAGCAAACTGCTGTAAATAAAGGAAACTGCTTACCTCCTTCCCCATAAAATAGGAGGCCATTATAGAATTTAGTTTCTGCCTAGCAACAAAAGCAAGAAAATAAATAATGAAGCTACAAAAAATATATAAATACATTTTCTTGATTAGAAATAACATATGAAATGTATGCATCAACTTGTAATCTGTAAATATTTTTAGAAACAACAGACTGCTAAAGTTACCTCATATTTTAACTTCTTGATTTCACAGCAAAGAGCAGCATACACCGTTATTACTTTATTTAGAACCTAGATTCATCAAAGAAAAAAAAATACACAGAATATTACACGGAGTATTAAAGTGTAAAAACACCTAACATTTTTTTGTGTTCAAAGAGTTCTGAAGAAAGACTTTCATATTTTACAACAATTCTTGTGATTAAAATATGACAATTTTAAAGAATTTTACCTTGTTTTCTGTTTTTATGAGTTCCAGAAGGGATGACTGTTCATACGGCAAAAGCTAAAAAATTAATAAAAACAGAAACATCAAAAAATATCCTTTCAAAACTGTCTCTCCAATTAAATGGCTCCAATCTTTCACTCCAAGCCAGTAGCTATCAATCTTTTTAGACTCAAAACACCCCTCAAAGTGCCAACTCATTTCTTGACTCTGGGAAGTAAGGGAGCAATTCTGCTGCTGCAAAAAAAAAAAAAAAAATCAGGAAGGCCACAATAGGTCAGAACTTTTTTTATACTATTTGAAATCTCTGGATTTATCTTAAGAATTGCATGCAAGTGTTTGCACTGTACCCCAATGCACCCTTAAAAGGATCTCATGGCACCCTACTTGAGAATCCTTGCTCTAGCCTAAATGCAGGGTGAGAAGATAAAAAACACTAATTACAGATTACCCTACAACCTACATCCAATTCTCCTATTACATGGAATCACCTTTCTGTATCATTGAAGGGTAACAGATGGCGGAACTACATAATTAAGTTGTGATAAATTTTGGAGAAACGCTGAAGCAAGAGTCATGACTGTTCTTAAACTACGTTTGTAAACTCAGTGTTTAAAAAAAAAAGAACTATGATTTTGTACTTCATGAAAGACAGGAAGTGTGTGCCCAAGGAAATAACTGACTGGGAGGAGGGGACAAGGGAGTGTTTTTTATTCTCACTGTAAAATGCAAACAAGGCTAGTAAGTCAAAAAAATATATTACGTTTTATCTACAAGCATATATACACATAATTATCCTCACCCAAATCTGTCCTAATGGTCTATGCTTCTATTAACAGAGAAGTTTACAAGAATCTAGTTTTCTGGTACTTACATTTCTCTCAAGTTCTCCTAAGCTTCAAAAACAGAGAAAAAGAATGATGTGAAAACATATTCACATGCTATCAACACTGATCTACCAGGTTATGATTGAAAAAGGTTATAAGTTATTTAAAAAAAAAAAAGTTAAAAAGGTACCAACCTATACTTTATCCTTCAAAGATGGAGAGGGAAAAAACACATTTGATTTTGGCTCAAGATTATCCTTAAATGTTCTTGTCTTGGTTTTCAAAACAAGAACTTGTTTGTACTGTTAATATGCCCTTACATATTTTATCTGTACCTAGCGCTTTATTAAAACAAGTTTCTTAAACTAGTAACAAAATTAACTAGCTCATATTTCTTTCTGAGTCAACAAGAGAAGCATCATTTCAAATAATTCTCAATTAAAAAGGGCTTCAGCCCCAATATAGCTAAAAGGCACATCAGGAACTGCTGGTTCACAGAAGCTAAAATGCACTTTATTTCATTCCAGAGCCAAGGATTACTCCATAGGCCAAGGCTTGAACAGGATACAGGAAAGCAGTGGCAAGCAGTTGAAAGAGGCCAGACTAAGTACCCTGCAGTCACTCTGTACCCAAGTGTCTGTAGCTCACCAGTGTAATAACTGTCCAAAACATGTTGACAAGAGAGGCTGCGTGTACCAACCACGGTCCTAATTCTGAAAAAAAGCTGGTCACATGGAGAAGAATATTCTGAAGCAAAGTATCCAGACAGAACCTGTCTGACAGCTTCATTCCAGGGGTCAAACAAGAAAAAAAAAAAAAGCCACTGGGCCTAGACTACATCCTTAAGGCACACACTATTGAACTCATTCTCACATGTTAGGTTTTTTGGCTTCCATCTGATATACTCTAGATGCACAACTTCAGCCCTACAGTTCACAAGACAGTAAATATTTTATTCCACACTGAGAATTTAATTTATTCAGATGCTAGTTTATCATTCTACTATCAACTGTCTAAAATGCCAGGGACCATTGGGTTCTTCACTGCAGTTTAGTTTTGTACTTCCTGTTGATTGAAATAATAGAACATATTACCTAACAAATCTGACCCTTCCAGGGACATTTACTGAATCATCTCTGAACTTCATTGAAAGTACATTTATAACTCTCATTTGCAAAGGAAGACACATACAACTCCAGTATACAGACCTTTAATGCAATAGGATCAAGATTGAAATCCCAAACATCTCCAACCGAGTCATCCAATGCATCTTCAATTCTTCTCAGCTGGGATGTGTACTCTTCAAGAAATTTCCCATAATTCTTCAACTGTACTTCAGCATGGATTTCTGCGAATAAAGTAATATTTGTTTAGTACCACGTACTCAGTATACTCGGTACCTTCACAATTCTTTATAAAGAGAAGATTTAATTGAATATGGTGCTCGCCATATCGGATTTTCTCAGCAAATCATTTTCAGTTAATAAGGTTGACATCAAAAAATAGCAAACATTACCTGAATTATAATAAGGTTTAAAATATTACTTTCGAGTTTGAAAACAAAGTTACTTTCTAGGAGTAGAAAAATAGCTAACACATAATATAATGTGATACATAAACTAAATGATAAATTTCTGGATTTTTCAAAACCAGCTAAATTACCAGGGATTCTCAACTAGAGATAAAGGTACTAAAAGCAGAGGACATACAGAGAACACAAATTCTAACATCTGTCAGTTGATATTGCACATTAGCTCTAAGACAGATCCTCGACCAGGCACTTATGGCTATATTATGGCCTCGAGGCAATGAGTCTCTAATTACTTCTCAGCATTCAGTAGCAACTGCATTAAAAGTAGCTGTACTCCACTGCTTCCTGATAATTTATCAGAAATTTACAGTGTAGGATTGAACTGCCTTAAGTCACCCCCTCAACTCCATGTTTCCATTTTTAAGATGACTGTCCCTTGGATAGATAGGCTGCCACTCAGCATTTAGATAGTCATATTTATTGCAATATGCATCACCACTTTTAGCTACAAATAGAGTATTATATTAAGTAATGTTTGGCTTGTCAAGGATCAAGAATATTTGCATTAGCTAGCAAATGAAGTGTGCAAGGCAACTTTTTTTTTCTTTTTATCTATTACAATAACCAAAAGCCATCTTTAGTTACTTGGATACATCAAAATATGCAAGAAATGCACATACAACACATACCACTATTATGGAAGTATTTGTCACTGCTCCAAAGTAAAGGCTGACTTAACTTTAATACTTAAAGCCTGGACTAAACCTCTATCTTGTGCAAAGTCTACTGCATACCTACAGCTGAAATAAAGCAAAACCACTTTAAATAATTTTGAAGTATTTTGATATTTCTTGAAACTAGAATTACCTCGTCCTAGTTTCACAGTAAAACCAACAATGGAACCTCACTTTAACACAATATCAAGTACTCTGAAAAGTCCCTCACTGTTTATACAGCGTTATAGGTGTTTGCTGCACTTTACAATAGGCAGAATGCCACAAAGAAAAGAATCTCTGTCTTGGAGAGCTTATAACCTAGATAAGCAAGTGGTTATTATACAGAACAAATCGTACAAGCAAGTCAAATCAGTAACAAAGGAGCACTGTACTTGGAATGTACAGTAGATACAGTTACTTTCTAAAAACCTTTTGGAGAAGGGAAGAGAAGGTACTTGATGTATATTAATTAGGACACTTTTACAGGCATAAGGACATGACTGAATGCATGAGTGGTCAAAGACAATGAGTAGAGCACAGAGGTAAGACTCAAGTGAAGGAAAAGATATTAACAGGGGAGAAGGATGTTTCAAAAGTGGACAAGAGAAGCCTAAAATTTATACAGAAGGGCAGAAAGAGATTGCAGAGAAGAAACTTTACAAATACTTTATTCCAACAACCTCCTCCTACTCTCTAGTGTACAATCCCATTTGGCAAAGAATTAAGTTGTCAAACTATTCTGCTGGACAAGTATATAAACTTTGATCACACACATACACACTTAACATTCAGCACAGTTTTACTGCTTTCAAAAGGACTATCAGGATGCTTTCAACCATCCACATGACAATGAATTTTGTTCCATGTTCCCAATCCATTAACAGAACACCTCCAGTACTTTCCCAAGCACCAGCAGGAAACAGATAATACTGATCACTTCTATAGATGCTATTCAGAACGCTGCAGGCAGCAGTAAAATGAATCAGCGCACCAGTATTTCCAAGCAGCAGTGGAATAAAGCACCAAATAGCAAGTAACACTGGATTTGTTTGCATAAGAGAGTACATCACCTACACAAACCAAGCACAGAGAGCCTGGAAGAGCCAATATTCCCCTACTTGTTTGACTTCTTGGGGAGAAGAGAATGGCTCTTCCCCCTTTCAGAGTGGGAATCAAGAGTAGCTGGTGATGTTTTAGACACCTACAAAGCAAAGACTAACAAAAAGGAGGGAACCTCTCAAGCAACAGGGATACAGGAGATACCCCAAACCTCTCCCCACTTCAGCAGCTCAGTGATGGGTTTCAAGCAGAGTGCTGCTGCTAGACCTAACTGATGCCTTTCATGTACCATGAATGCTCTAGAGGGCAGGTAGGAAGCAGACTGTGGTGAGCAGTACACTTATTCTGAGCCAGAAAAATTTGCAAGGACTGTAATTCTGCAAAACACCAGTGTCGCCCTTGTGCAAAGTTGTTTGAAATTTTTAGTAAAGACTAGTGGACCACACCTTTCTTTTATCCATCACCTGAAAGGTTAGGCAGAAATGCCAAGAATATAGTCTTAGCTACAAAAGCAACCACTGAGTTGCATTAGTATCTATTGATGGATACGTTAGAGTCCTGAAGTTGGCACTTACTGATGGATAAGCAATGAAAAATTTAAAAATACATACTACAGACATTAACCGATAACGTTCATCGGTCAGGAAAATGCACAGTTTAAAGCAATAATGAGCATCTGGCTGTGACAAGCTCTCTTGATCATGCAGAGACGATGCATATTTTTTTCCAGTTGTACTATTTCATAGCTACTAACAAACATCCAACTTCACAAGACACTGTTATCTATTCAAAAGACTGAGTCAATTTTCTCTCGGTTCTTAAAACCCGCAAACATTCAGGAAAGGTACAGAATTCAAAGATTCTTCAAATTCCTTTATAGCCTTTATTAAAAACTGGTGGTTGTACTGTTTGGCCTGTGGATCAGTCCACAAAGACTCATGAATGATAAGTGCAGAAATACACATGACACCGACGCAACATGCTCTCCCCACTTCCTTCCTCCCCAACTGAAGCCACTAAAACGGAGAGCAACTAAGGTTAAACAAGCCTCAAAGGCAGGTCTTTCATCCAGCTGGCCTGGCTTGGGAAACCATCAGCTTCTCCCCCTCGGCGTTGCTCACAGACAAGCTACCGGCTTGCACATGCACGCACCAGGGGCAGCCTGACGGGTATCACGTCAACCAGAGTTTCTCTCTGCTCCATGCAGCAGCAGCCAACATCCGAGGAGCATTTCCAGAGAAAAGATACTTCCAAACGTTTTTGGGGTTGGGGGGGGGGGGGGGGCTTTTTGTTTTTGGGGTGGGGGGGGGGGGGGGTGTTGTTGTTTGTTTGTTTCTCTTCTTTTGGTGCCTCCGAGGGCTGCAAAACGGGAAACCAACTCCGGAAAGAAAAAAGAACCCTTCCTCCCCACCCCACCATGGCAGGAAGCTCACTGACACCAGGCCGAGGACAGATATGTGCCAGGGGGACAGCGGGCATCACGCATGTCCCTCAACCCCAGGCCGGGGACAGACGCATTCACCAGGGGGACAACCAGCATCACGCACGCCCTGTGACCACCCCCTCATCCGGGCAGACGGGGGGCAGATGGGTGCCAATGCAGGAGGTGGGCGAGGCGGCTGACCCCAAGCGAA